CGTCGTCCCTTGCTCACCTGTAGTCACGATTCATGCACCACAACTGAAAAAGTGTGATCACTGATACATGTGGCTGAAATGATCTTTCATAGACGAATCGCTCGTCTAACGCGTCTCGATAGTGTCTATAATGATGATATCCGTTTCTCTGCGGTTGCTGCTTCTCCAGATTAGGTCATTCACCTTCCTTCTATCACGACAATGAAGCAAGAGGCCGCAAAATATGCCTTCAACTTGTCAACTCTGCCTTGAAAAAACGGCACTCATGGCTGATGAGGGAAATGGAGTTCAGCGTCCTACCGTTGATTTCACGAAAAGAATGGCGAAAGAAATGGTTCCATCATGATGGTGTAACGAAAATTTACAAACTTCCTTTCTTGTATTTTTCTGATTAAAAAGTGACAGGTATGATGGTTTTGGCATGCTTAGCTAATTCATCGAGAAAAGAAGGCGAAACAGCTACTACGGCTCCCGAACGGTCGAGAACCTAGAGGAAGGCTAAGATTGTGACCAGGAGCAAGTGTCTCGGCACTCTTCTCCGGACTCAGGTTATCTTATATCGAAGCTGAAACGTTGGCACAGGATCGGGAACTTTGGAGGCAGTGTTTGACGTTTCTACTCACTCGACCCGATAGAATGAGGATCATCGAAAATGATTGAACTAGTAGGGTCTAAACAGTTAGTGCCCAAACCGATTGTATGATCTTTTGCATGCATGACGTTGTGACCTCAGTTATCGGAAATGGAAATCGTTCTATTTTCTGGTTGTTAATGTGATAGATGGCAATTAACCTATAAGGCCGCCATTGATCGTGACTTGCTGATAAGATTGTTGAAGAGAGTGCGGTCGGATCGGTGATTCAGTGCGTCGCCTCCATTAGATAAATGCGATACGAATGCATTTGCATTTTCAACAGATATTATTTCGGTCATTTATTTATGAATTCTAGTACCGTTAGCCATCACATAGAAAAACGTTGACTTTTTATTGTTGATGCTAAATGAATACAAACCGTATTTGTTGAACGGATTCCTATTTTGAATGCACTCTTTAACATTAACAGATTTTTTTAATGGTTGGAGATCTGCCAGAAGATTGTTTGCATCAGCTCGAAGCGTGGCTGAAGACATTCTTAGTGGCTGAGGTAGTAGGAAGCTGTTTGATGATGGTTTGTCTTGCCCTTCGCCATTGCTTTGTGTTCACAGGGTATGCATAAGTGTACCATCCAGGTAGTGAGTATTGTTTTGTACAGTGTTCAGATTAGTTCTGACTATTTTCTGTCCTCGTAATTACGGAGAATTGTTTTTAGTTTTGTCAGTTGATAGCCGTCTCATTGCGTGAAGATGTCAGCGAATGAATTCGCTAGCAAACGACTTGCTTTTTTGCATGATCTGCATTCGGGCAAGGTCACCGGTGGCTACAAGACGGCGCTCGAGACGGTCAACTATGTACGGCGTACTGTTGCGACGGCTAAATGGAATTCGGCTGAAGACCTGATGAAACTTCTGCAGCGCGAGTGCCGGTACTTCACCCTGTGCTTACCGAAATGCTACGTCGTCACGAACATGATCAAGAGAATTCTGAGGCTGATCCGCGACGAGCATCTCAGGTTAGCAGGTGCATCAGAGGAAATCATTAGGGACCCGTACGACTCTCTGCCAAGGCTGTGGGAGGAGGACACTATTCAGGAGACGGCTACATCCGTCAAGCACCTGCGAACGTCGTTGATTGAGACCGTACATGAGTTCGTCACCGAAATCGAGACCTGCTCTGACAACATTGCCATCCAAGCGTTGGACCACATCAACACAAATGACACGGTGATGACCATTGGCTTTTCGACGACCGTCGAGCGTTTCCTTCTGTCTGCTGGGAAAACTCGTCGCTTCAACGTGTATATCGCCGAGTGCGCGCCGTCCTACTCGGGTCGAAACCTGATGACTATTCTTCGAACTTGCCCCAACATTCAGGCTGAACTCATCCCTGACGCAAAGATTTTCTGCTGTATGTCACAGACGGACAAGGTGATCATCGGCGCTAGCGAGGTACTCGCCAACGGAGGCATTCGGGCGATGTGCGGCACTTACACCATGTGTTTGTGCGCTTCCCACTTCTGTGTACCCGTCATCGTTTGCGCCTCGTTCTACAAGCTAACGCCTGTGTTCGTTTCCGGCGATGATCAGGAAGCGTTCAATGAACTAAGGTCCCCCGCAGAAGTTGTATCTTTCTCCTCCGATGTTGTTACTAAAATGGACATTCGCAACCCGGCGTACGACTGCGTTTCTCCCGACCTCATAACGTTACTGATTACAAACGTATCTGGAAATGCACCGTCGTACATATATCGTCTCATCAATGAACTTTACCACCCTGCGGATTTGCTCCTGTAAAACAAACTTGTTTCCATTTTGTATCTAATGTCTCCTTTGCATTTTGCAGATATTTATCTGATAATTTTATTTCATTGGAATGGAATTCCATTGGAAACTGCAATGAACAAGACCGGAAAAGAATCTTTTCGATTTAGGAAAAAAATTCCTGTTAGCTTGTTGGAATTGTTGAGTGCTTGGATATGCTTCATTAGACTCACCAATTTTCGGTTCAACTGTAATTATAAAATTGATTCCAAGGATATTTCTACCCCTTGCTCGACTAATGTAATCACTGATCGTTTACAGCATATAGCTTTCGTTGTTTACTTTAGCGAAATTAAAGATATTTTATTATTCACAAGACATTAATATTTCTGTTGCCTTCAGCAGAAACTGGCTGAAAGAGTTGTTTTATAAGTCAATAGTTGAAAGCCCTTTTTCTATTGCAACGGTAGCTACTGCGTAAGTGTGCCACGCGACAAACTGCTCTTTAAAAGTCATGGATATAACGCATTGTTTGATTGTGCCCGTTCAGGAAGGGGATCCTGTCAATATTTGAGCGAATGGCCAAAAGTCCACTTCACATTAATGACATGCTTCTATAACAAAGGATAGGAAGAGTGTGTTGGAAGTGAGATCCACTCAGTGTAGTCTAATAAGATAGTCTCAGCTTCAGTTCAGCTGCTGCTTGGTCTTGTTAACCAATTGAGTTGGCAAGTGTGGTATTTCGACTCACATCCTCCGTTAGATGCCTATCGTAATACTATTTTACTTCGCATTAAAACTGAAATAAATGCAAAAAACCGCAGTTCGAAGATAGAACTCATCCAAAAATTGAGGGAGCATGTTATAACCTTTGCGCACGTGATTTGCCATGTTGAGATGCGAGATTGTTAACGACTATTATTCCGGATTTAATAGTGGTTTTGTATCCCATGTATTTGAATTAAACTAATTAAGTAAAATGATGAATATACGCATTTAAATAAACTAATATTTATAAACTTTAATCTGAAACAAACTGCCCAACCATTTGAAAAGCACCTGGTTGGAAAGGTAATGTTACTGAAAGCACTGAAAAGTAAAGGGAAACAAACGTATGAAAGTAGAAAACGAGTTCTTACGATTAACATAGATAGTGTGACAATTACTGCTACATCGATAGCAGCTAGTAAAGAACATTATGAATAGGACGTCAATTGATAATTTATATTGTAATAACAACGGCTGACGAATACCGACGGAGCGACGACGAAAAATTATATTGAGCTAATTTAATAAATTGCATAAGGTGTTTGTATTTCCGAACAGACATGTGCCATTGCCTTTTCGAGCTTCATTATTTGACATATTCGTCCATTGGCACTGCATATGCTGTTATTGGTGCGGTAAC